TCTTAAGAGGTTAATTATGAAGCAGTGCTCACAGGCATTTTTTAACTAGCAAATTAATAGATGGACTTTTGGGGTCTGTCACTTTTTAAAAGTATTTAAGACTTAAATTCTATTAGCACCACAGTCTGCCTTCAGTAATACACCTAAAATATTTTTCAGGACCAGAAGCATTCAGTTTGAAAATCTTTTTGCAGATGCAAACCAGTATTATTACTAACGCTCTGGGTCAAAGGTTAGGTTTTTAATATTAACAGTAGTCTGGTAAATATTTAGAAGTCTGGCATTGAGAAACAAAAGCTTGTACCTGACTAGTATTTTTATTTAAAAAAAATTAGTTCTGTTAGCTTATTTAAATTGTCTTTTACATTTATTTATCCGTAGAATTTATATTTATTTCATTCCTTTCATCTCACTGAAAACTGTCTGCAGGCCCTTTGATTTGGATTAGATGTGTGAAGTACTGTCTTTTGCCAAAAACCTCAAATACCTGTTCTTTTCAACGTAGTGGGTTTGTGCTTGTTTGGAGATCAGTTCAAAAACTATCTGTACTATCTGTACTGCCTCTGATGTTAAGATTTTATGTATAGCATAAGGAAGCTAGCTCTGACTATATTTTCCTAAGAATAAAGACCTATTTTTGTAGCATGTCTTAGGATCTCCAGGAGTCCAAGAATTATTGTGAGTGTCCTCCATTTCATCACTTTTCACTTAACAGCTTTTAAGTAGACACTTGGAATCTTCAGAGGTCTGTCGCCCTTTGATTACCCATACATTCGAAATAACTAGCCAATGATGAAAAATTCCCCAAGGTATCTTCAGTTGCAATCACATTACTGGAAGATGAATAGAATAAATGTATTAGGCTGGTCTTATTTTTTGATAGAAATATTCTTTGGTCACATACTTGTCATTGGATTTGATAAAGGTAGTCATTTGGAAAGAATCGGGGACTTGTCAATATATTTGTGGGTTCTGGCTTACACGCCTAGGATTTTGGGGAGGTTGGGGGAGGAGCAGTTTTGGCCACTTCCATCAGGACAAGACTCCTTTTAGGTCACTGAGTGCAGGGTTTAGTTTCTGTTTGGATTAACAAGATTTCTATTGATTATTGAGAACAGACTTTCCACATTTCAGAACAGTCAAGGAAGGCTGAATAAGACTTTGAGTGTGGGAGAAGTCCTAATAAACCATTTTGGAAACTAGCATCTCCCAAATGTTACAGCTTTCTAAAATGGGTTTTTAACACAATGGGATCAGAGTAAGATTATTTTAGAATAATATACCGTAAGCTTAATTGCCTAATTTTCTACTTTGTCTATAAAGTGACACAACAAGTTCTAATCTAGAAGGGAGTTAAAAAGGTTATGTAATATTTGTGAATTGTCATTTCTTGCCTTTTTTAGGCTTTCGCCTTTATTCTGAAAAGGAGATTGTTGTGACACAAACTCAGCTTGTTTGGAGAGGATTTTAGGAAGCCTAAGGGAGTTGGCATCTTACATCAATTTGGATCTGCAGTTTTTGAGTTTTCAGGGCAGAAGGGCAAGGTATTTGGTGTGGACAGGTTGTTGCCAAAGATTAAAGAATTAAAGAATAAGACGAGGGCTTGCTGACAATAAGAAGTCTGTTTTGTAGATTCCATATGATAACATTATGTCTTGTAAATATAGAAACACCATGACACACAAGAAGAGTTTCAACATATATGTTATGGCTCATTTAATGGTGTTAACTTTAAATGAGTTGAAATTTGAAAAACATGGAATTTGTGCAATATAAGTACTGCATCATTCAAACACAGAATTGCTAAAGCTAGGTGCATATATATATTAAACTCTTAAGACGTTTTTAAGAGAATATCTTTAATATGTCAGTATGTTAATTGGTTGCTTAAATTGGAAGACTCAGGAATTAGGCCTCCACAGTTGCTTTAGGTTTATTTAACATGTCATGAAAAATTAGAAAAGCATATTTACACATTTTATTTCTCACTTTTAATATTTGGAATATATTTAGAGGAAAACCAGAAATAAACGTCAAAGGTCATCTATAAAAATTGGCAGAAGACACTTTGTTTTTTTGAGACACAATTGTGCTCTGTTACCCAGGCTGGAGTGCATGGTGTGCTCTTGGCTCACTGCGACCTCCACTTCTGGGGTTCAAGTTACTGTCCTGCTTCAGCCTTTCAAGTGGCTGGATCTATAGGCATGCCCCACCCTGCCTGGTTAACTTTTTTGTATTTTTTAGTAGAGTTGGGGTTTTACTGCATCATCCAGGATTGTCTCATCCCCTGACCTCGTGATCCACCTGCCTTGGCCTCCCAAAGTGCTGAGATTACAGGCGTGAGCCACCGTTCCTGGCCCAGAATACACTTCATTTTCACTCTAGAGCCATGTATATATATAATACAGTGTAGTTTTGGCAAATTTGGTTCATATATCTACCTCCTTTGCTTTTTTTCCTTGAAATAGTAAAAATTCACTTAAATTTGCAGAAATTTAAGACAGGTTCAATTCCCTTTTGGTGTCCTGTCTAACTTCAGGTACAGTTAAACATAGAATTAAAAGATGAAAAGCCTTTATTGTAAAATTGTCAGGCAACAAATCCTAGTTATCTTTGGTTTCTTGGAGATTTATTTAGCATTTAGGAGAGGATCAACAAGGGCACAGCAAGCAGATTCTGTAGTTAGGAATTTTTTTTCCCTTATTTTTGCTGAGTATCTACCTTTTGATTAGTCTTTTTAGTACATTTTATGGTAAATTTCTTCATGATTTATTTTACCTCTTTTTAGAATGGAAGCTCCTTGAAGGGCAGGGAAATCTGAGTAGGCAGGCATTTAAAAATATTCAAAATGATGTTCAGTTTGGTGGAAGTTTATTTGCCAAATGAGATTGTGACGAGAACTTGAAAAAGGCAATCAAATATTTTGAACCACTTAATTTATGGCATGGAAAGGTTTTAAAAATGATCACAAAGTGCTAATGATTTAAGTAAATTAAGATGGAGATCCACATTTAAATTATTAATGTGACATTTTAAAGAATTATAAAACTGTCTTAAGTTCAGGAAACAGTTGGCCTTATGATTTATAGACCTTTTTTAATATGTTAAAACAACCCTATGTGGAAGTGACTGTTTTCCTTATTTGAAATTAAGAGGAAAAGGGTGCTCATAAGTCATCTATCTTTAGCAGTGAACTTAACAAAATCCATTGCATCAATTTTCCTTTGTGTTGATGTATAGTTTAATCTGTGCTGCTGAACAAGATAGTATCAATTTACAAGCCCCATGTTTATAATTTCTTAATGAGGTGAGGAGGGGGTACTTGAAGATGGAATTTTGCTAATGAGGGTCTGGTTGGTTTCGAGTCTAAAGTTTTTAAAAGGTTCTTTTGCATAGCAATTTGAAGATGACAGAATAATAATACTTGAGAAAAAAACATGAAGCATAGATAATAAAAATGATGTATTGACAGCTATTTCTGGGGGTAGTGTATATTGCTTACTCTATCTAAAAATAATTTAGAGAAATGGTTACATCCATGTGAGTAGCCTTTTATTTACCTCCCCATTGATAGGTAGCTGAAATTCAATAACCTGGAAAGTGAGGCTCTGGATTTAAGGCATTATTTCACTTCATTATATATATCTTCTAATATCAGTAGTATGAGTAAAAGTGGTATTTAATGTTTACATATGCTTGGTTGATATCTTAACTTGATAGTTCTTTTTTTAAAATAGGGAAAGACCTGTCCATGAAGTCCACTCCCAGATAACCTCCTCTATTTAATTCTTTCTTAAAATTTATTGATTTAAGAGCGGGTTGGCCAGGTGTGGGGCTCACACCTGTAATCCCAGCACTTTGGGAGGCCCAGGCGAACAGATTACCTGAGGTCAGGAGTTCAAGACCAGCCTGGCCAACATAGTGAAACCCCGTTTCTACTAAAAATACCAAAAAAAAAAAATGGGCATGGTGGCATGCGACTGTAGTCCCAGCTACTGAAGGTTGAGTCAGGAGAAATGCTTGAACCTGGGAGGCGGAGGTTGCAGTGAGATTGCGCCACTGTACTCCAGCCTGGGAAACAGTGAGACGCCATCTCAAAAAGAAAGATCTTTCTGTGTTACCCAGGCTGTGGAAGTCTGTGGCACTGTCATAGCTCACTGCAGCCTCAAACTCCTGGGCTCAAGCAATCCTGCTGCCTTAGCCTCCCAAAGTGTTGGGATTACATTGTGCCCAGCCTCTTGGTTACATTTATTACTTGAAATACACTTGACCCTCTATTTAGATGAATTTCAGAATCTCTGACTTCATAAGGAAATAGTACACTGAGTAGTTTTCCTTCATTTTCAGGTATTCTTCCTTATTGTCAGGATTATTACATTTTACAATTGATTACCTTATACTTGCCTGTAGACTGAAGAGAGGCAAAACAACATATATAATGTGCTTACCCATCCTCATCCATCACAGCTGTTTATTTTATATATGCACTGTCTTGCTCACTCTTACAGAAATTTAAAAAGTTTTCAGTTTCTTTTATGGTGCATTGAAGTATTAGTTCACATCAGTTTTCTCTTTGTGCTTCTGATTTTCTCAGATATTTGGTGATTAATATTTATCAAAAAAGGGTATTAGGAAAAGTGGTGTTGCCTGGACTTGTCTACTGAGAAGGCTTATGGCAAGTTCTGATGTGAGTGAGAAAATGAGGACTAACAGCCTTTTATTTTTAGCTTTTCTGAGAGCAGTGAGGCAAGTAGGGTACCCTCTCCAGTGTCAGAAGAATTCTCAATTGCCGGAGTTCTGACCCCTGCTATGTTACTCACTTTTAGAGAGGTAGACCCTAAAAGCAATTTTACAACTGTCAAGTCTCAGCCCTTTCAATCCTGCAAACTAAGAGATCTTGCTTTTCCTATCCATTCATTTCTCCTGTGGAAAATGGCTCCTGCAGTTTGTAGCACTGAGCTTCATTTCTTCATCTTTTGTATAAAGAAATATGAATTTATCTTTTGTATCTAAATTGTGCAATTTAGTATAAAAGGTGCTAGTTTTAAAATAGAACTGATAGTAAAACACAGTAGCATGGTGCACATCCTGAATTAAGATAAATCTGTATTACCATATCCGTATCCCTGCTTATTTAAAATATATTGTCTTGGAAAAGTAAGTTTTACTTGGAAAGAGAATGGGTATGTAGAGGATATTTTGTGACTAAGGATGCAAATTTAGTGACATTAATTGGAAAAAGTTTATTTTGGAAGGCCTTTTTTTGTTTTGTTTTGTTTTGTTATTTGCTTTTGAGATAGGTTCTGTCACCCAGGCTGGAGTGCAGTGGTGCAATCATGGCTCACTGCAGCCTTAACCTCCCCAGCTCAAGCGATCCTCCCACCTCAGCCTCCTAAGTAGGTGGGACCATCAACATGTGCCACCACACCTGGCTTTTTTTTTTTTTTTGAGATGGAGTTTTGGCTCTTGTCGCCCAGGCTGAAGTGCAATGGCGTGATCTTGGCTCACTGCAGCCACCACCTCCTGGATTCAAGCGATTCTCCCAACTCAGCCTCCCGAGTAGCTGGGATTATAGGCACCCACCACCATGCCCAGCTAATTTTTGTATTTTTGGTAGAGACAGGGTTTCTCCATGTTGGCCAGGCTGGTCTTGAATTTCTGACCTCAGGTGATCTTCCCACCTCAGCCTCCCAAACTGTTGGGATTACAGGCATGAACCATAGCTCTCGGCCAGTTTTTTAAAATTTTTTTTGGAGAGATAAGGTCTCCCTATGTTGACTAGGCTGGTCTTGGAACTAGGCTCAAGTGATTCTCCCACGTTGCCTCCCATTGTGTTAGGGTTACAGATGTGAGCCACTGTGCCTGGCCTGAAAGGCCTTTTTGGAAACAGGTTCAGAAAATGTTTCAACATTTAGTTTCTGAACATTTAAAAATAAACCATTGAGAATTTATTTTTCCCCATTACATTTAACAGTTTGCCTTTGTGTCTTGTTTTAACAAGGTAAAATTATTGGCAGGTAATGAAACTTAATTATTTTGGCAGGTATCTCAAACCTACCTTCCAGATTTTGATGAGAGTCCACGTGAATTTACTTGTGGAATATATTCTATACTTCTATCAACTCTGGTGATTAGGTTGTCTAATTTTCTACATAAAGGCAAGTCAAACTTCTTGAGTCACTCTGGGTGTTCTTACCTCATCAAGATATCAAAACAGTTCTTAATTAGGTTTTGTGGTATTAAGTATTGACTGATAACCAAGGAAGAAACTGACTTTCAAGGTGTCTGGTACCAACAATCTTGGCTAAGTTTTTAATGATAATAGTATCTGGTCAGCCACACATACAAATGTATGTACATACATATATAAATATATACGTAGGAAACTAAAGAGGGAAATAAATCATCTTAGTCAAGTAGTAGACCTAGATCTTTAAATTAAAATTTGAGGACATAAAACGCTCTTAATTTTTCACACTAGTGTCTTATTCATATGGCTTTCTCTTTTTTTGAGATGGAGTTTCCCTCTTGTTGCCCAGGCTTTAGTGCAATGGCTCGATCTTTGCTCGTTGCAACCTCCACCTCCTGGGTTTAAGTGATTACCCTGCCTCAGCCTCCCTAATAGCTGAAGTTACATGCATGCAACACCATGACTGGCTAATTTTTTGTATTTTTTAGTTTAGACGGGGTTTATCCATGTTGGTCAGGCTGGTCTCGAACTCCCAACCTCAGGCGATCTGCCTGCCTCGTCCTCCCAAAGGGCTGGGATTACAGGCGTGAGCCACTGTCCTTGGCCTTGGCTTTCCCATTCTAACAAGCATGATCTGGCTTGTATATTCATTTTCCACATAGTAAGAAAGGGGTTGCTGAAATAAAATGCTCTATGTGCATTAATACAGTTTTCTTATTTCAACAACTTAGATAATTGCTCTTTTTTCCGGAGTTCAGATGAGAAACTGAAAATCTATTAGTCATTGGGGCATTTAATGGAAGCAGTTACGTACAAACATTTAACCTCTCTGAGCCGGAGTTTCCCTGTAAAAAGATAATAAATTTTTCCAGCTGTCAACATATCCTATGAATAGGATCCATAGGATCCTGTTGTTTTTTTTTTTTTTTTTAATTCTGCCTAGAGGACCTTTTTGCCTTCATTCATGCTTTTATATGGAGGTTTATTTGAACAAAAGAATAAATGTTACTTTAAAAGGTAGACTTAATTCACCCTGTAATACCTTAAATGTATGAACATTTCAGTACATTATTTTTGTGATAGCTCTTTGAGGGAAAAACAGGGTAATGTGACTATTAAAGTTGAAGCTATCACTGAAGCCCTTACATTCTGAGGAAGGAAACTATCAAGCTGTCATTAGTCCACAAAGCATTATTCCAAGTTATTCCCAAATTCCCTAAATTACCATGTTAATGCACAAGTTGGGAGTTAACCAGAACCAAATAGATGGATCTACTTTTGTGGTGGTAACTACATTTTAAAAAGTTTTGGAATAAGTGTTCAGTTATTCTGTTTCTTAGTTTGAAATTCCAGTCAAAATTCTCAATGCTAGTCGATGAATGAACCTGATAAGGAAATACAAGACAGTCTAGCTGCTAAACCAATCTTCTAAATCTTACTTATGTTAATAATTGTTATCTAACAATTAGAGGACCACCATATTGCCCAAAATAGCATTGGTGGTGTGAGTACCAGTGACTCCCCAAGTGTCTTAGACTGAAAGCCCAAATATTTAATTATCAATAAACTACTTTATTGCACCTTTTCTAAAAGTGAGCTTGGTGGTTTTGGAATGATACCTCTTTTAAGTCGGTTTTCCTCCCCGCCCCCGATTTTTTTTTTTCAAGACAGTCTTGCTCTGTTGCCCCCAGGCTGCAGTGCAGTAGTGCAATCTCTGCTCACTGCAATCTACGCCTCCTGGGTTCAGGTGATTCTCCCATCTCAGTCTCCCAAGTAGCTGGGATTATAGGCACCGCCACCATGCCTGGCTAATTTTTTGTATTTTAAATAGAGTCTGGGTTTCGCCACATTGGCCAGGCTGGTCTTGAACTCCCACTTCAGGTGGCCTCCCAAAGTTCGGGGATTACAGGCGTGAGCCACTGCGCCTGGCCTCCCCTCTCTTTTTAAGAGTTCTTCACGGGATACCAGTGTCCCCATATGAAATTTCTGTATTTTAAAGATGTGTAACCTCCATGGCATTTACTACATTTACTTAACCTTCTTTAAAAATCTCGGCACTTTGCCAGGTTGTCTCATCTTCCATCCTTACCTGTTGTTTCCTTGATCACATCTACATTACAGCACCGAATCACATCTGTGTGGACTCCTGTTTTAGTGTCAGGGCTTCCTTGATCTCTGTTAAGTACAGTTCTGCATTTCAGCTGTCTGCTGTACACATTCAAGTGCTACTCTCCATCAGCAATTGTCTCATTAATTTCTCATATCACATCCAGTCACATTTTGATAATTTACTTGAAGAGGCCTGAAATGTCCCCTCTATCCAAGTTCTATTAGTCCTTTAGGAAGTTCAGATCTGGCATAACTCCTTATAAATAAGTTAAAGTTTTAAATGGCACATTTAATTTTAATGGTTCTCTATATCTAGCTCCAGAGTCTACAACAGTATTGTCGAATAGAAATGAAAGCCACATATGTAATTTATTTAAAGTTTTATGGTTTGGCCCCTGTTAATCCTTCTAGTGTTATCTTCCATTAATAATGTCTCTAAAGAAACTGCCTGCCTTATGTTTCTTTGGCTCATCTCACAGTTTCTCATGTCTTGAATTCTGGCCCATTTTCTTCAACCAAAATATGTTAAAATTATCTTACTATAGGCTCATTAAAACCACAAACATCAGCCAGGTGCAGTGGCTCATGCTTATAATTCCAGTACTTTGGGAGGCTGAGGTGGGTGGATCACCTGAGGTTAGGAGTTCGAGACCAGGCTGACCATCTTTACTAAAAATTCAAAAATTAGTGACATGTGACTGTAGTCCCAGCTACTCGGGAGGCTGACAGAATTGCTTGAACCTGGGAGACAGGTTTCAGTAAGCTGAGATTGTGCTACTATTGCAATCAAGCCTGGGTGACAGAGCAACAAGACTCCATCTCAAAAAAAAAAAAAAAAAAATCCAACATTGTATCCCTGAGGAACAAGTACAGATTGGAGAACATCAAGATAAAAGTCTTCACTTTGCCTTCTGGGGACAAATAAGGCTATTAGCTGATTTTTCTTTCGTTTTTTTGAAATGGAGTCTTGCTTTGTCACCCAGGCCGGAGTGCAGTGGTGCGATCTCTGCTGACTGCAACCTTTGCCTCCCGGGTTCAAGGGTTTCTCCAGCCTCAGCTTCCAGTTCCAGGCATGTGCCACCATACCCAACTAATTTTTGTATTTTTAAGTAGAGACAGGGTTTTGCCATGTTGGCCAGGTTGGTCCCAAAACTCCTGGCCTCAGGTGATCTGCCAGCTTCGGCCTCCCAATGTGCTGGGATCACAGGCATGTGCCACTGCACCCAGCTTTCTTTTATTAATAAGTGCTATAGGTTTGTGATACAAAAAGTTTATCAACCTCTGTTTAAAGGTAACTTGAGGAGCAAAAGTTTAGTTTTATTGTTCATTTTTTTTGAGACAGGTCTTGGCTCTGTCACCCAGGCTGGGTTGAAGTGGAGCCATCTTGGCTCACTGCAGCCTGAACTTCTGGGGCTCAAGGGATTCTCCCACCTCAGCCTGAGACCACAGGTGTGTTCTACCACGCTCGGCTAATTTTTATTTATTTATTTATTTATTTTTGAGACAGTCTTGCTCTGTCATCCCGGCTGGAATATAGTGGCATGATCTCAGCTCACTGCAACCTCCGCCTCCTGAGTTCAAGTGATTCCCCTGCATCAGCCTCCTGAGTAGCTGGGACTATAGGCATGCGCCACCACACCTGGCTGGTTTTTATATTTTTAGTAGAGACGGGGTTTTACCATGTTGCCCAGGCCGGTCTCAAACTCCTGACCTCGATTGATCTGCCTCTCTTAGCCTCCCAAAGTGCTGGATTACAGACATGTGTCACTGTGCCTGGCCCCTAATTTTTTTTTTTTTTTTTGTAGAGGTTTCACCATGTTGCCTAGGCTGAAAGCCACAGCTTTTTTTTTGTTTTTGTTTTTGAGACAGTTTCGCTGTTGTTACCCAGACTGGAGTGCAATGGCACGATCTTGGCTCACCGCAACCTCCACCTTCTGGGTTCAAGCAATTCTCCTGCCTCTCAGCCTCCTGAGTAGCTGGGACTACAGGCGCACACCACCATGCCCAGCTAATTTTTGTATTTTTAGTAGAGACGGGGTTTCACCTTGTTGACCAGGATGGTCTTGATCTCTTGACCTCTTGATCCACCTGCCTTGGCCTCCCAAAGTGCTGCGATTATAGGCGTGAGCCACCGCGCCCGGCGGAAAGCCACAGTTTTAAAACATCTGACACCATTCGAAAATCTGCTACTTCTATGCTTTGCAATAGCAGGAACCTTCAGAATCATTTAAATTACTGCTACCCTTACAGTTTATTTTTTGGCAGTGTGTATGCGGTAATTACAATCTTCTTTCCTCCATGATGGTAAAGGATAGTTTCATATGTTGCTTTACATGGTAGAAAATACGATGGAATTTGGCAGAGGTTTAAACCAATTTAAAAATAATCGTGTTAATATTTGAAAACTCAGTACTTGCAAGGGACTGTTTACATAGGGATAATGGTCATACGTGTCTTAACTCTGAAGCTACTTAAGTGCCCCACAAAAATTGCTCTAGTTCTGCTATCAGTGTTTCTGTGAGTATTCTTAAAGTTTTCTTTTTAGCCACAGGAAATAAAGATCTGAAAATTGATGTTTTAAAATATGTTTTTTTTTTTAACTAAAAATAGAAGCTATAGAACTGTTCTCTGAACATCTGGGGACAGCAGAGTTCTTCATTGTCTTGAGTACTTAAGGATACATCTTAAATTGTTTCACAAAATTGAAGCGTATAGGCCATAATGCTAAAAATTTAGACTGTTTTAGAATCTTGTGTTCATGTGAGTTAAAGAAACCAAAATTCAAATGGTACCTGTCTGAATATGTAGGGGAAACTTACCAATAAAAATTTTTCAATAAAATTTTCAAAATTATGATTCAAGATTTATACTTAGATATATTATATTGAGTTTATTTTCTGGAGTCAGCTTGCCAAGAGGAAAAGTTTATTTTTAGTCAAGATAAAAATTGATTTTAATTATTTGGTGGTAATAACCCTTACTAGAAGAATACGAGCTGAAGTACCTATATTAATGATTCTCACAGTTCCAATTTGCATGATGGTTTCTAGGACAACTTCAAAGAGCTTTAATTTTTATGTTTTGAGAAATAGCTTGTGAGAGGTAAGAATGAATGCAAAGTTTTTCCAAAATATTTTCTGAAGTTAGTTGAAATCTACTTAAACATTTGAAATGAAAGAGTTACCTTTTTTAAATGAAAGTAAACCACTATCTGTAGTTGAGAAATAAGATGGAGTGTTTTACTTATTTAAGGAGTAATTTAAAAAGTAAACAAAAGCATTGGCCTACAAGAGAATGGTGGTGGTGGATTGTAAAGTGCCTTCTCCAATCTTTAATATTCACCAACAGGTGAGTATATTTTCAGTTTCCAAGCAGTTATTAATTTACATTTTCTGAAATTATGGCTAGCTTCCTGCTTCTCCAAAAGTGAGTCTTAAAAGGATGGCTATTTCATCCTAATTTAGAAAAAAGATGACAAATATGAAGTGCTTAATTTTTTTGGTACTAAGATAATGAAACCATCCAGAATTTTATGATCAAAACATGGCATTTACCCAGGGAGTATCTGTAGTTGAGCCATTGGCTGTATAACATTGTTTGTTCTTTGTATCTTCCTCCAGTGGAGGTTTTTCTCTCATGGCCATAAAAATAAAAGAGGGTTAAATGTGCAAATAATAACTGCATTTTAAACATCTCAGTCCGTCCACTCATAATAATTATTTAACGTTCTTCCTTGAATTACATATTTTCTATTGTAATAAGTTCCTATTTTGAAAACCAAGGAAGTGAACCTGAACATTTTTTGAAGAAGGCAGTTTAATGGCCTCTTTAACAGGTTTTTATCAACAGGTTGATACATAGGTTGTGGGGAGGAGAGCGTGTTATGAAATGTAAAATTAAGGCTGTGAAAATAACATTAGGGTTGCCACAAAAGGTGAAATAAACCTTGATCAAGGGAAAAAACAGCTTTGAAAATGTGTCATGTGACAGGAGCCATCTGTGAGGGAGGGAATGAAATGGCTCCCAGGGGTAGTATATCCATCCTCTTCTCGATATACTTGTGCCATAGCAGTAATGACCCTCAACATGTTAAAATGTGGTTTACATTCAGGGTCATCAGAGTTTAGGCCTAATTTCTGCAATTCAGGTATTCAGCATTACTTTGCAAAATTCTTGTATGAACATAAAAAACATTTTGCTGATGTGGTCGGGAGAATCAGGTTAAATTAAGTGGAATCATTTTGGATACTTTGCCTAGTATTGCATGATTTCTGAAAATTACAAGTGAAAGCAGAGATAAGTCGTATTCTTTGCTCACATTATTTCCCACAGGCCTTTCCAGATCCTCATAGTTAAAAATTTCCCTGTCATTAAAAACAAACGATAACAGCCTTTATGTATAAATCTGCTGCCCTTTATAACATTTTATGTGACTTGTTTCACTAGATTGTAAGCCTTTGGAGGTCAGAAAAAAAAATGCATCTAAATTAATTGTACCGCCACCACATCTAGGACAGTGCCTTACACTTATTTGCTATTCAATAAATATATTCATTAAAATAATGGACATACTACTGGATTGCAATTTAATGTCTGAGCCCTTTAAACAAATGCATTATCAAACTTTAAACTTTCTATAGTTTGTCCATGTACACCTGGCACGTGTGACGTTTGTAGCATTTATAAACAATTTACATATTTCATTGTACTGAATCTCCAAGGCTAGCAGTCTATAACAGCACTGACTAGTAGAAATATAATGCAGGGTACATATGTATTTTCAAGGTTTCTAGCTACATTAAATACTTGTAGGCAACGATTTCCAAAACAATGTGTAATCGCTTTAAAACTAATTTTAATTTACATTTAATACTGTTTTCATCCTAAGTCTTTGAAATAAGCCACATGCAAGTGCTCAATGAGCTCAATTGAGCTTACTGACTTGTACTGGACACTGCAGATGTAGAACTGTAGGGTAGGTAGTTTCCATGGATCTCAACCTTTCTGGATCTCAGTTTTCCTAGAAATCAGGTATCTTAATATGTCATTTTCATTTTAAGTTGTTGTATCTAAATAAAAGCTGATTGGTTTAGCTCATTATTGTCATGTTCATAAAGCTGTAAAATTTGAAAAAACAATTTTGTATTAAGCATTAAACAAAGATATTTAACAGGCACTTTCCAACTTTCCACTCATTTTAGTTGTCCCTGGCTCCCAGTTTTATAAGATAGCTCTGTTTTAGAGTTGAGGTAGGAGTGAGATAGATCAAGTTAACCTTGCTAACATGTTGCTAGTAGGAGATAAAGCTAGTTTCAGAACCAGGATTGACTGTGGATATTCCATATAACCCCTTGAAAGTTCAAAGCTTAACAAGCTTGGGGACAAAATTTCTAGCTCTGTGGATGTAAAGGTGGATTCTAGACCATAGGCTAAAGAAAGAACCTTTAATGAAATAAAAGTTATTTTATTTCTTCAGATGGGGTCAGTATGACAGAAATTTAATTACATTTCTTGCTTTAGGTGTGGAGATTTTCTGCCGTAAAGAATTTCCTTATGGAAGAAGTATTACATTTTTTTTTCTAATCATGAAGAGCAATTTGGAAATTTAAATTGTCTATTGTCTAGTTAATTTATTCCAGTTGCCTCTAAGAAATCAGACGGTAAAGAAGTCTTTTAATTGGATGTTGTAATGATTGTCTGATTTGAACAGAATTCAAGACATTTTGTCTTTAAAATATACTGGCTCTTGGTGAAGAGAGTAATTTCAAAATAAGTCTTTAAGGAAGCAAAAGTTTTAAACAACAAAAGGTAATATAATTTATCAGACAAGTTAAAAGGGTAATTTACATTATTTGTCATGAAATTAGAGTTTTAAAAATAATTTACAAAACCATAACACACTCAAGTCCATAGGCACTTGATACATGTAGATCCACTCAACATACATCTGGAATATTTTAGAATAAACAGATTCTACTAAAGTAGGTATTCTACTAAATTAGTATTAGGTACCAAAATCTGTTTTAGTTACCTAATATGTACCTAAAAACAGTTTTAAAAAGTGCTAAGCTTTCCAGTAATGTTACACTGTGGTCTTTTAAATGGTTTAGTCACAAATGGTAAAGTGTATTTGTGATGTTAAGACAATAATGCCTAATCGTGAGGATCAGTGAAATTGTATACTTTTATACACCACTGTGGAATTGGTGCCACCATTCTACAGAGCAGTTTGACTATATCAAGAATGTTTATGTTCTTACTCTTCCCAGTAATTGTATTAAAGTTCATCCTAAAGAAATAGAAATGTGCATTAGACTTATGATCAAGGATGGTCATAATATCAATGAACTTTAGTGAATAGCAATAATGGAACAAAGGGTGGTACATTCTGAGAAAGGAAAATAATGCATCATTAAAGATACATGTTTTTATAATATGGGAAAATATTCATGAAATCTCATACACCATTAAAAAACATTTCTGACTTTCCTTTGAAGGGTTAAGATCCTAGGAAAGACGACAGGGGCAGTCACTGGCCTTAGCACCTATTCATATCCCGGCTTTGTGAGTTCTATGATCCTAAGTTCCTCTGTCTCAGTACCTGTATAATAGCTGAAACTATGTACTGTACCTACACCATGGGGTGAATGCATGGAGGTTAAATGAACGTGCTTACTGCACAACCTAAATAAATTTTTAGCGGTAATAGTCTTTCTGCATCTCTCATTGTAGCGGAGAATACAGAAATAAAAATTTAGAAATGTGATGAATTAGCAAAGGGAAACCCCATGAGACTCTGTAAGAGGGATTTCACCTAATCTGCCAACCTGCTTTGTCCAAGCACTTGGATTTTGGTTGGGCTCCCGGAACCGGCGTGAACTGAGCTTTACCTTGCCTGTGAGCACGCAAAAGATTCTGTTGGTGGGGTGGCGGCTTGGTGGGTTGTATTTATTCCAGGGCTGTTTTACTCGCCACACTCGCGGTCCACAATACGCCCGTTTTAAAATACGGACTCAAAAGCGTCCTTCCATCCACCTTTCCCTTAGGCAACACGCAAAGCTTGGACCTGCCCCCACCCGGAGCAGAAAGTAAGGTGAGGCGCGGAGCATGGTGGCGTCGGGGAAACGCGACCACTCGCTCCATCCCTCTGCGGATTCGTGTCACGAAAACTACAGTTCCCAGCAGGCTCCACGAGCTCTGGCTGCCCCTCAGACGGCGCCCGGCGGTTACGGCGGGGGACTGGTTTCTTCCGGGCTCGCCACAACCTTCTTCCTTCTCCTCCGCAAAACAGGCAGTTACCGGGTGCTGGAGCTTTCCCTCGATTTCCGGAAAAGGCCGGTCGCCAGTGGAGTCAGTTTCCACGCAACACTGCGCGCTACTCCGGCCTGAAGGGCGGAGCAGCGGGACGCTAGGAACCTTGCGCTGAGTGACGACCTCGGTCACATTTTACGGCCGTTCCTCTGGTCGGCGGCGGGGTACGGCGGCCGCGCACGCGCGGCAGGGGGCGTGAGGCTGCGCCCTGCCTGACGCGATCGCAGTCTGCCGCGACGAACTGCCGGTAGGCTGCTGTGTGTGTGCCGCCGAGCCCACGGGGCGGGGACGCGGGGTGTGGATGGGGGGTCGCTTTGACCTCGGCCTCAGCCAGTAGGACAGCCTCGGCCTCGCGGACGGAAATGGTGCGCTGGGTGCGGACGATGGGGGAGAAACTGAAGCAGCGGCTGCGGCTGGACGTGGGGCGCGAGATCTGCCGCCAATACCCGCTGTTTTGCTTCCTGCTGCTCTGCCTCAGCGCCGCCTCCCTGCTTCTTAACAGGTAACGCCACAGCGCGGAGCCTGGGCTGCTGCTTTTCTCCGAAGCTGCTGACGCCCGGCCCGTGCTGCTTCACCGTGTGGAGGTCGCGTAGCTGCGGGACTGGGGGCAGCTGGGGAGAGTGAGCTTTGCAGAGGAGCGGCCTCGGGGAGCTCGGCTGAGCGTCGGGCCCGGAAGCAAAGGCGGGTGGGGTGGGGTTGATTGCCTCCTTTCCCGAGGCTTCATCTTCTGAGCTACCTTCTTATGCATTTCTCAAAACGAGTCCTTCATCGTCAGTGCTTTTCAAAAGTGAAATCTGTGTATCGTCTCCGATTGAGACCGTACGGAGGCAGTCGAGTCTGCTGGCGGAGGAGGGTTCAAGGTCCAGTCCGCAAGCGCAATTTTAGGCGGAATCCGCACACCTCCAGCGCGTTCCTTCATTCCACCCCCACCACCCCTTCAGCTTGCAGCTGAAACTTTTCCCTCAGTATTGTTGAATAAAACAGTCATAACGATTTGTTGGATAGAAATCACAAAGCAAAGTGGTACCCGTCTCAACATCCCCAGAATATTCTTGAGGGGACCTGATGACAAAAAAAGGAAAAACAAACAAACCCTGAAATATTACGAAAGGTTCAAGTTGGTAAGTTCAATTGACATTTTAAATTCAGAAGATTCTGCCCACGAAAGAAACTTCTTATCCTTCATTTTGGAAATTGTTGTGATGCAATAGGTAGCAGAGGATAATTTTCCGTTAAAATTAGTACCAGATTTGCTTTTGGTGAAAAGAAATCTGAGACAGTTGTCATTGACAGCGTCTGCATGCTGTTTTCTCTGATGTTTTGAACCGTCAACCATTCTTAACTCTTTATCTTAAGGTAGTTGATACCCAAGGATAGCAACAGAGAAGAATGCACAAGGAATTTGGTAACTTCATTTTGCTCTAGCGTAACCATTATTTGTGACTGTATTGAAGTTAGATTTCTTCCCTAGTAGTGGCATTGCTTTCTTGTTGATTCTCAGTTTAAATATTATTGAGCTTAAATAGTAGTTGATATTTACTAAGAATTGTGCTTTGTGATGGTGAGATGTTTGAACCGTTGGAGTGTGGGAGAAATGGGATCCTTAACAGAGGGAAACCTAATTATTATTTGCTTTCTGTCATCTGTAAGGTATTCCAAGCTAGACAAACAGGTTTAGTATGAAAGAAATGTAAGCTTCATATGATTTTTATTTTATTTAATTTTTTCGAGATGGAGTCTCACTCTGTTGCCCAGGCTGGAGTGCAGTGATGCGGTCTCAGCTCACTGCAACCTCCACCTCCTGGATTCAAGCGATTATCATGCTTCAGCTTCTAGAATAGCTGGGACTACAAGTGGTTACCATCATGCCCGGCTGATTTTTTTATACTTTTACTAGAGATGGGGGTTTCACCATGTTGGCCAGGCTGGTCTCGAACTCCTGACCTCAAGTGATCCACCCACCTTGACCTCCCAAAGTGCTAGGATTACAGGTATGAGCCACTGAACACAGCCATATGATTAACTTTTGTCCATGGATTCTTGCCTGCCTCTGGGGAACTGGGTCAGTACAGGTTTCTAAGGTAGGACAGCCATCTACTAGGAGCAGGTTGAACTAGATTTGTGAGGTCATCTGCTTATGAAATCATAACATTTAGTGTTATGTGTTATTAAGAAGTTATAGTATACCATCTGATCTGTATACCATCTAACCTGTACCATGTATTTCTTTTATGCAGAGAAGGTAGGAAATACACATAAATGTTATCTGAGTGGTTGGGTTTATGAGTGAAGCTGTTTTTACATATGTTTTAGTGTTTTCCAGTTAGTCTGTAATTAGAGAAAGTGATCTTAGACACTGTAGAACTGTCTTGAATAAAATAATGATTATGTATCCCTTTTCCAGGAAAAATCTTTTGGAAGGTGCCGGATGGTGTATATAGCATGCTCTTCAGTGTATACATGTGATTAAAAAAAAAACTATACACACACACACACACACACACAATGCTTAGAGTATCTCTGAAGTGTTGTTATACGAGAAAACGTGCCCTTCTGAGATGAGGTATAATACTAGGTACATCTATTCTGAAATAAACAATTGTAGATGAAATTGATCCTTGAACAGTGCAGAGATTAGGACACTGACCCCTATGAAGTAAAAAGTCTGAGTTGAACACCGTGAGATCCATACAAAGTACCACTAATGTTGTTGGGAGTGCTCCCAAGAAGCAGAGAAAAGTAATGATATTACAGAAAAAGCTGAAATGCTTGATATGTACTATTGATTGAGATTTGCAGCTGTGATTACCTGCCATTTCAAGATAAATAAATCGAGTATAAAGACCACTGTGAAAAAAGAAAAGGACATTCATGAAGCCATTGCTACAACTATGCCAGCAGGTGTGAAAACTGCACTTTTTGCAAAATACCTTTTTATCTTGTGCTGAAAATTTAGCTTTTATGTGGGGGCAGAATTGCTATGAGAAAGACATAAGTATAGACTAATACTATTCAAGAAAAGGTAAAGTCATTCTATAACAGCTTAAAGCAAAAGGAAGGAGAAGAATATAAAACTGGGTAATTTAATGCCAGCAAAGGATAGCTTGATAATTTTAGGAAGAGGTCTGGCTTGAAAAATGTCAAGCAAACCGAAGAAAGAGCCTCTGCTGACCAAGCAAGAGGCAGCAGATGAGTTTCACACACCATTAAGAAAATCATTGAGGAGAAAGTATTAAATATATCTTCCTGAATGGCTGTTTTTAATGAATGCAAGTTTATTAAGAAAGCAAAAGAATAAAAGAATGGCTACACCATAGAACAGCCCTGAACAGGTTTTTACTGCAATGAAAGTAACTTGGTTTGGAAAAAATGCCACAAAGGACATTTATTAGTAAGGAAGAGAAGTGAGCACCAGGATTTAAAGCAGGAAGGGATAGGCTAATTCTACTGTTTTATGCAAATGCAATTGGGTTCCTTGTTTGTGAATCGTCTAACCCCCAGCTTTGAAGGCAAAAGGTAAGTATTAGCCTTTTGGTTGTACAAGAAGGCCTGGACAACAGGAATCTTTCTGAATTAATTTCATTGATGTTTTGTCCCTGAAGTCAGGAAGTACCTTGCCAGCAAGCAATCGCTTTTAAAGATTCTTTTGATATCAGACTACCGCCCTGGACACCCAGAACCCCCTGAGTTTGACACTAAAGACATCGAAGTGGTCTACTTTTCCCCAGACACAATGTCTCTAATTCAGCCTCTAAATTCAGGGTGTCATAAAGATGTTTAAGGCTCATTATACGTGGTACTGTATGGATAGCTTTGTCAGTGCTGTGGAAGAGAACTCCAGTAGAGAGAACATCATGAAAGTTTGGAAGGATCACACCATTGAAGATGCAGTCATTAAAGCCTTAAAAGCTATCAGGCTTGAAACAATAAATTATTGATGGAGAAAACTACACCCAGTTATTGTGCATAACCTCACAGGATTTGCAGGAGAGCCAATCAAGGAAATCATGAAAGAGATTGTGGATATGACAAAAAAGTTTGAGTTTAGAGAGTTTCAGGATAAGGATCTTGGAGAAATTCAAGAGCCAGTAGACATCACACCAGAGGAATTAACAGAATACAGCTTGATAAAGATGAGTGCTTCAGAACTGGTGCTAGACAATGAGGAAGGAGACTTAGAAGAAACAGTGCGGGGGGCTGAATGCAGTGGCTCATGCCTGTAAGCCCAGCACTTTGGGAGGCCAAGTTGGATGGATTGCTTGAGCCCAGGAGTTCAGGACAAGCCTGGGTAACATGGTGAAACCCTGTTTCTACAAAAACAAAACAAAAAAAAAAACAGAAAAACTAGCTGGATATGGATGTGCATATCTGTAGTCCCAGCTACTTGGAGGGTTGAGGTGGGGAGGATCAATTGATCCTGGGATGCAGTGAGCCATGATAGTACCTACCACTGCACTCTGGCTGGGATAACAGAATGAGACTCTATCTCAAAAAAAAAAAAAAATGCAGTGGTGCCAGAAAACAAATTGACAGTAGACAATCTGGCAGAAGGTTTTTGATTATCAAGACTGCTTTTGACTTCTTTTGTGACATGGACCCTTCGATTACTGGCACTGAATCTAAAGCAAATGGTGGAATAAAGATTAGTACTGTATAAAAATGTTTTTGGAGAAATGAAAAAGCAAAAAGTTGGGCAGAAATTATGATGTATTTCCATAAAGTTACATTCAGTGTGCCTGCCTCTTGTGCATCCCCTTCTATCTCTTTTACCCTTGAAATTCCTGAGACAGCAAGGTCAACCCCTCCTCTTCAGCCTACCCAATGTGAAGAAAATGAAGATGAAGATGTTTATGATGATCCACTTCTACTTAATAGTAAATATATTTTCTCTTCCTTATGATATTCTTAATAGCATTTTGTTTTCTCTAGCTTATATTATTGTAAGAATACAGTATATAATATATACAATAAGTACTAATCAGCTTATTGTATTGGTAAGGCTTTTGGTCAACAGTGGACGATTAGGAGTTAAGTTTTGGGGGAGTAAAAATTTATATGTGGATTGTTGACTGCAGGGAGACCAATGTCCCTATGTTGTCTTTATCTGATTTAGGACTTCACATTGTTTTAGCCCTTTTATTTATTTTTTTGATACAGAATCTCACTCCATCACCCAGGCTAGACAGTGGCATGATCTTGGCTCACTGCAGCCTCTACCTCCTGTGCTCAAGCAATCCTCCCACTTCAACCTCCCAGTAGTGGGGACTATAGGCGTGTGCCACCCTGATGAGCTAATTTTTTAAGTTTATTTTTTGTGTACAGACGAGGTCTCACTATATTGCCCAGGCTGGTCTTGAACTGCTAGACTCAAGCAATCCTCCTGCCTCTGCCTTGCAAAGTGCTGGGATTACAGGTGTGAGCTGTCATGCCTGGCCTAGCCCTTTTAAATGAGCAGTTTTCTTTATCTCTTTCTCTCTCTCTTTTTGCCCCTGAAGCAGTCTGTATAAGGTAGGTATCTGTTTCATGAAACGTTGGTAAAACCATTTGGGCCAGGTGCCTTTTATTGACAATCAGGATTCTAATTGCTGTTTTAATTTCTGTAATGATAATTGATCTCACATTCTCAAGTTTTTCACTTACTAGTTGCTAGCATTTTTGTCTTTTAAAAAATTTGTTTAAGGCCGTGTGTGGTGGCTCATGCCTGTAATCCCAGCACTTTGGGAGACCAAGGCGAGGATCACTTGAGCCCAGGAGTTCAAGACCAGCTTGGGCAATATGGCGAAAGCCCATCTCTACAAATAAGTAGTTGGGCATAGTGGTGTGTGCCTGTAGTCCCAGCTACCCACAAGGCTGAGGTGGGAGGATCACTTACTTGAGCCCAAGAGGTTGAGGCTGCAGTAGGTAAGCTCTGATCATGCTACTGCATTCCAGCCTGAAGTGACAAAGTGAGACTCTGCCTCAAAAATGTTTTAAAAAGTTATTTTATATAGGTGTTCCATTTATTAATATATAGTTGTTCATAGTTGTATTTTTTATTTCAGTTATAGCTATGGTTACTTTTTTCATTCTGTATTTTATATATTTGTATCCTTGATCTGTCTTGTTAGAGATTTGTCCTTTTTTTTTGAGATGGAGTTTCACTCTTGTTGCCCAGGCTGAAGTGCAATGGCGTGATCTTGGCTTACCACAACCTCCAGCTCCTAGGTTCAAGTGATTCTGCCTCAGCCTCCTGAATAGCTGGGATTATAGGCATGAGCCACCATGCCTGGCTAATTTTGTATTTGTAGTAGAGATGGTTTACAATTTTATATTTGTAGTAGAGATGGTTTCTCTATGGTGGTCAGGCTGGTCTCAAACTCCCAACCTCAGGTGGTCTGCCCACCTCGGCCTCCCAAAGTGCTGGGATTACAGGTGTGAGTCACTGTGCCTGGTTGAGGTTTGTCTTTTTATTAACTTTTGATTTGAAAATTTCCAAGCATACATAAGAGAGTGTAAAAAACTTCCAAGCACCCATTACTCAACTTTAACAACTATCCTTATTGTGTCACTCTTTTTTGGCCTAATCTTCTTCTTTAAAAAATATCTTGAAGGGTGGGTGAGGTGGCTCATGCCTGTAATTCTAGCTCTCTGGGAGGTGGAGGTGGGAGGATCACTTGAGGCCAGGAATTGGAGGACAACCTGGGCAACATAGAAAAACGCTCTCTCTCTCTCTCTTTTTTTTTTTTTGAGATGGAGTCTCACTTTGTTGCCTAGACTGGAGTGCAGTGGCATGATCTCGGCTCACTGCACTCTCCACCTCCTGGGTTCAAGAGATTCTTGTGCCTTAGCCTCCCAAGTAGCTGGGATTATAGGGATGCACCACGATGCCTGGCTAATTTTTGTGTTTTTACTAACCCCAACATGGGGTTCTGCCCGCCTTGGCCTCCCAAAGTGCTGGGATTATGCACCTGGCCAGAAAGACCCTGTCTCTACAAAACAACAACAACAACAACAAACAGGCATGGTGGCACACGTCTGTGGTCCTAGCTACTCGGGAGCCTGAGGTGGGAGGGTTGCTGGAGCCGAGAGTTCAAGGCTATAGTGAGATATGATTGTGCCCCAGCACTCCAGCCTGGGTGACAGAGCAGATCCTGTCTATATAAAAAATAGAAATAAAAAAAATCACTTCTGTACAGAACTAGGATATTACAAAATTAATAATTGGTTAATATCATCTAATAACTACTCCAAAATAAAATGTTCTCAGTTGAGTGAATGTGTATAGTGCAGTTTTTCTAATTAGTATTTAAACAAGTTCTACTCCTATTTGGTTGCTCTATCTCAAGCTTTCTAAATGTTTTATAATCTAGAACAAGGGTTGATACATTTTTTTTCTGTAAAATGTTAGGTAGTAAATATTTTAGGGCTTGTATGCTATGTTAGGTCTCTGTTGCATATTCTTTTTTTTTTTTTTTTTTTTTTTTTTTTTAAAAAAAACCTTTAAAAATGTAAAACCTTTCTTAGTATGAGGGGCATACAAAAACAGGTATACTTTGGCCCACAGGCCATCATTTTTCAACTGCTGATCTGCAAGACCCCACCTCACCTTTTTTCTCCTTGCTATTAACTTGTTGAGGAAACTGGATCATTTGTTCACATTCTGGGTTTTGTTGATGGTTTTCTTGTAGTGTCTTGTATTTTAAACCTCACATTTGTATTTTGGTAGTCAGAGTTTGATCTATAGGCTCAGTTAGATTTAGTTTTTTTTTTTTTTTTTTCAATCCATGTGGGGAGTGCTGCAGAAAGACTTCAGTGATGCCATGTGTATTCCGTTGCATCACATCAGTGGATATGTAAGGTGGGGTTGCCTCACTTTTAATGGATTTAGTGAATGTCAGCTGATACTGTGTCCAGGAAACTTATTCTGGTTTTACCATTTATTTATTTCCTGAATCAGTTACTTTATTATGGGGTACAACATGGTTATTCTCTTAATTCTTTCATTCTTTCTGTATTTTTAAATTTGAATTCTTTTTTGTAGAATTTCTTTACTCCATTCATTAGGTCTATTTAATTACTCTGATACATGGTTCAAATTGGAAAAGTAGGATAAATGCTTATTTATCAATTTTTAGAGTAATAATTGGTGCTGTACTAACCTCCATTAGTAGCTGTGACGATGATCATGTCAGGGTCACCACGTGAGTTAATCACTACCTGCGGGGGGTCTGTCCTGCAAACCCTGACTCCGCGATGGATGAATAAATACACTCAACACAGAGTACAGTGAACGAGTAGGCTAGGGAGGGTGTTAGCTGCTTTCAGAGGCTTCTATTATCCCTAATCTTTACCCTATGACCTAATGCTCTAAGTTAGGAACTGGCTGCCTTCAGCCTGTTCCATTATTCGGCCTTCCAAAAGGTCTGAGACTGTATCTTATAACTTTCCTTAATATTTCCCTTAATATTTTGCCAACCACTCCGAGTGAATCCCAGTAAGTATCCAGTTAAAAGTTTGCTTGTTTTATTAATTTTTCCAAGAACTAGCTTATATTTTGTTAATTTGTTGTCATTGTCTATTTTGCTGATTACTGCTCTTGACTGTTTTCCTGTGTTTGAAGTTATGAATGCTCAACTTACTGGTTTTCAGTTTTTTTTTTTTTTTTTTTTTTAATACTTTAAGTTCTGGGATACATGTACAGAACGTGAAGGTTTATTACATAGGTATGCATGTGCCATGGTGGTTTGCTGCACCCGTCAGCTTGTCATCTACATTAGATATTTCTCCTAATGCTATTCCTTTCCCATCTCCCCCAGCACCTGACAGACCCAGGTGTGTGATGTTCCCCTCCCTTGTGTCCATGGGTTCTCATTGTTCAACTCCCACTTATGAGTGAGAACATGTGGTGGTTGCTTTTCTGTTCCTGTGTTGGTTTGCTGAGAATGCTGGTTTCCAGCTTTATCCAGGTCTCTGCAAAGGACATGAACTCCTAATTTCTTATGGCTGCATAGTATTCCATGGTGTATGTGTGCCACATTTTCTTTATCTAGTCTGTCATTGATGGGCATTTGGGTTGGTTCCAAGACTTTGCTATTGTTAACAATGCCGCAGTAAACATATGTGTGCCTATGTCTTCATAGTAAAATGATTTATAATCCTTTGGGTATATACTCAGTAATGGAATTGCTGGGTGAAATGGTATTTCTGGTTGTAGATCCTTGAAGAATTGCCACACTGTCTTCCACAATGGTTGAACTAATTTACACTCCCACCAACAGTGTAAAAGCATTCCTGTGTCTCCACATCCTCTCCAACATCTGTTGTTTCCTGACTTTTTAATGGTCGCCATTCTAACTGGCATGAGATGGTATCTCAATGTGGTTTTGATTTCAGTTTCTCTAATAACCAGTGATGATGAACTTTTATTCATATGTTTCTAGGCCACATAAATGTCTTCTTTTGAGAAGTATCTATTCATATCCTTCACCCAGTTTTTTGGCCACATAAATGTCTTCTTTTGAGAAGTATCTATTCATATCCTTCATTCACTTTTTGATGGGGTTTGTTTTTTTCTTGTAAATTTATTAAGTTCTTTGTAGAATCTGGATATAAGCCCTTTGTCAGCTGGATAAATTGCAGAAATTTTCTCCCATTCTGTAGGTTGTCTGTTCACTCTGATGACAGTTTCTTTTGCTGTGCGGAAGCTCTTTAGTTTAATTAGATCCCATTTGTCAATTCTGGCTTTTGTTGCCATTGCTTTTGGGTATTTTAGTCATGAAGTCTTTGCCCATGTTTATGTCCTGAATGGTATTGCCTACATTTTCTTCTAGGGTTTTTATGGTATTAGGTCTTACATTTAAGTTTTTAATCCATCTTGAGTTAATTTTTGTATAAG